ACTCTTCCTCGCCTGATTGTGAAAAACTCTTCAAATATCTAATTTTTATTAACTGTATAGTATTCCACATGATGGACATATGAGAGTCACACAGTCATTCTTGAATGTAGGGCACTCCTTGTGAAAATGATACTGGGGTTCATTTGGGGCCGTGCACATTCCCTGCCACCATGGTCTTTGAGAAATGTAGTCGAGGCAGAAGAGTCAGGAATGGGACATCCCATCACCACCCAGAACCCCTCCAAATACACTCCCCACACCCGGTAACAAGCTTCAATGCGCTTCAGTGTCCTCCCTTCTGGATTCTGGACTGGCCGCTACCACCCCCCCAGGTGTAGTGGAGTCTAAGAACCGTTGACTTGTCCTCACAAGGGGACAACTGCTTAGATGCAAGGCACGAAGATACGGCTTCCTAACCCAGCAGTCATGGCTTCTGTGATGTAATGAAGCAAATGTCTTCTATCTCTGATGTTGCTTTCTCTAAGGACTTTACCTTGATTCCACTTGGAGGGGGCTGGAAATAGAGAAGCATCTCCCTGCAGGCATCGTGTTTGATGAAAGATTTTAAATTTTTTTTCTGTTTTGCAAGTTTATGACACTATGCCGAATGATATGCCTCTCTTTTACATGGGAATGACGATAGCAAATAAATTCTTATATAACACATCAAACAATCTCAAGATTCTAGAACCACTGCACAGAATTCTGCAATAGATTACACACTAAAATGATAATTTTCATTAAAAGTTAAAATGTCATTGAGGGCCATCATCTCTGAGGAAAGTTAATTCTCACCAAAGTGGGCCGGGGTTTTCTTGCCCTGCCCATGAGGCTCATTTTAGGGACTGGCCATCCCAGGACACACGTGTTTCACCATCAGGGCCATGCAGCCCATGACTGGGCCCCCCCGGCAGCTGCACACATGATGTGGGGACAAACCCTGTGAAGCATTCAGCAACGAGAGGACTTGTAATCATAGCACTCCACCTCTAACTCCAAACAATGCCAACTGAACAGGAAAAAAATGAAACCAACAAGGTCCAGTACCTGCTGAAGGAGATTTTTGAGTCACACAGACCTGAGGGCAAACACCAACATGACCACTCACATCCTACCTTTGTGTTTTTCAGCAAGTTGCTTAATTTTTCTACATCTTTTTTCTCCTATAAATATATATAATCTTACTGCAGGATTATTCTAAGGAATTTTTATTACTGATATTAAAAGAAGAGGTGAGGGGCCGGCCGAGTGGCGCGATGGTTAAGAACTGGCTTGGGATGCCAGAGGGCCCCGGTTCGGATTCCACATATGAGGGCCAGTGACACTGCCCTCCACAGCTAAGATGCTGAACAACAGCTCAACCTGGAGCTGGGCTGCTGTGCGTCACCAGCGACGGCGTAGGCTGCAGCCCCTGTGGCAGTGGGTTGCCATGGGCTACCGTATGTAGCCAGCAGCCAGCGTGAGCGGCCAGCAACCGCAGTGAGCGGCTGTCCAGAAGCCGGCGACTGATGAGCCTCGCCCGGGAAGAGCGCAATGATGGTGCCAACTTGGGCCAGTGAAGCAACGTCCTCCACAACTAGACTGAAGAACAAAAAAAATGACAGCAACTTGTCTGTTCCCCTTCCCCCAATTCCCCAGCACTGTTACCATCCCCCCAATTCCCCAATTAAAAAAAAATCTTTAAAAATAAATAAATAAATAAATAAATAAAAATAAGTGACTGTGGTTTTAAAGTTCTTTAAAAAAAAAAAAAGAAGAGGTGAATTAGGCATAGAGAGGTTGATTTTCACACTTTGAGAATCAAAGCGCAAGGCCCAAGGAGGTTGTGTTCTGTTCATATAATGGACAGAAGGGAGAAAGGATAAACAGACTTGTTACTGCATACTTTTTTTAATTTTCAAGTTTGTAAATCATGAAAATATACTGATTCAAAATATTTAAGTTTTTAAATAGAAATAAAACAATTGGGAAACACTAATGAAACAATATTTAGAAGAAAATTTCCTTGGGCTAAAAAAAAAAAGACTTGAGACTATCTAAACATATCCTGCTCAAGTTCCTGAATTCTAAGATTAGCAACTCTTGCCAAATGCGGGGAGAGAAGCAGTTGCTGTGGTAGGCAGAATTATGGCCCTTTGAAGATGTTTATGTCCTAATCCTAGGAACCTGTGGATATGCTACATGGCAATAGGGAATTAAGTTGCAGATAAAATTAAAGTTGTTAATCAGCTGACCTTAAGATAAGATTATCCTGATGAGCCCAGTATAATCACAAAGGCCTTTAAAAGCAATGGAAAAGAACAGTCAGTGGCAGGGTGATGCAATTGGCTACTGCTGGCCTTAAAGATGAAAAGGGGCCATACCAAGGAAGGTGGCAGGCTCTAGAAGCTAAAAAGGGCTAGGAAATGAATTCTCCCATAAAGCCTCATCACAGAGAACACAGCTCTGCTGACACCTTGATTTTGGCCCAGTGGGACCTATTTCAGACTTCTGACCTCCAGATAATAAACCTGTGTTGTTTTAAGCCACTAAAATTTTAACAACTTGCTACAGCAGCAACAGGAACCAAATACATCTACATAAGCTAAGAGAATCAGATCAGCATTGGGTTCCTCTTATAGAAGACCAGAAGCCAGAATTCAATGAAGTGACATCTATGGATTATTGAGAAAAAACTATAATCCAAGAATGTTGTACCAACTGAAAATATAACTTGGGAAGGTACAAGAAAGTGTTTGACATATAAAAATTCAGAGGATACCAGCTATATACCATTTATTGAGATAAACATAAATACTCAATAAAAGTCTAACCAAACAGCATGTGAAATAAAACTGTTCCTCAAGACAGGAAAAAAACAATAAAAAACAGTGGCTGGAAATGCATGTTTCTCTGACTATATTTCAATTTAAATAGACATCATGAGTGGGTCTGGCACTAACATAAGCATCAAATAAATGAAATAACAGCAAAACTAAAAGCTCTGCTGCTAAAAGTTTTCATTAGGTTAGTGACGGGATGGGAAGAGAAAGCAAGGGCTTAATCACAGGTGAGAGTATGTAATAGTCCTCTCATTCTGCCCAAATAATGACTAAGAATGGGGAGATAACTACCACTCTAAGCACAGTGGGAAGTTCCAATTTAGCCAGAGAAAAAGGCAATGATCAGCCAACATAAGGAAATGACCTAGATAATATAAGAGGCGTGATAAAAAAATATGGTGAATGTTTAAATTTTAAAAATCTATTACAACAAGACACATTGCCATTAATCCCCCTCAAAATATTCCCCCTCGCTTCAAACACATGTATCCCATTATTCTTGCCATTTTCTCAAGCAGTTCTGGAAGTCCTCTTTCATGAGTGTCTTTAGTTGCAGTTGTGGCTGCCTCAGTGTCCTGATCAATTCAAAATGTTTATCTTTCATGGTCATTTTGACTTTTGAGCCAAAAGTCACACAGCGCAAGATCCAGTAAATACGGTAGATGAGGATACACCATAATGTTTTTGACAGAAATTGCCATGCCAGAAGTCATGTGTGACACATAGCATTGTCATGATGGAGGATGAAGTAACGACACTCGCAAAAGAGGACTTCCAGAACTGCTTCAGAAAGTGGCAAGAATGATAAGTTTGAAGTGAGGGGGATTAATGGCAATAAGCTTTTACTGTAATAATTTTTATTTAAACATTCATATTTTTTATCACACCTTGTAAACAGTACACACAACATAAAATGAAAGGAATAAAGCTGAAGTATTATACTAAATAAAAATGTGAATTTCCCTGTGGGGAAAAAAAATCCAGAGTTTGAGTTTTGAAAAAAGTTTGTTTTTTTTAAAGAAATAATTAAAATGACAAGGGTTAAAAATGAGTGAGTGGGCAAAAACATACCAGGTGAACAAAGATAAATCATTATATCACACAGTATGGAAATAAATTATCAGAAGGATTACACTAGGCAAGGGTTAGCAAACTTTTTTTATCTTCAGGACCAGACAGCAAATATAGGCTTCATGGCCACAGTCTTTGTTGCAACCACTTAGCTCTGCTGTGATAGTGCAAAAGCAGTTTGTAGACAACATGAAAATAAATGAGCATGGCTGTGTTTCAATAAAACTTTATTTATAAAACAGGCAGCAGGCCAGATTTGGTTTGTTGACCCTTATACCTGGCAGAGTAGGATATTATATAATGATAAAAGGTATGATTCATAAATAGGGGTTAAGCCATAAGGGGTTAAGCCATATGTCTTTATGGGTCAAAGAACATAAATTAAAAAATAAAAATCTCTGGAGATTCATGAGGTTGGTTAAAAAGTTCAATTTTTAGGAAATTCTGATCCAGTACACCAAATTATATAAGAACATAGAGAATTTTACCATTATAATCAAGTTTTAAATAGAATCTTACATCTAAAAAAAGTAGAATATATATATATATATGTGTGTGTGTGTGTGTGTGTGTGTGTGTGTGTATAGAGAGAGAGAGAGAGGGAGGGTGGGGAGGAAGGGAGAGGGAGGAAGAGAGGGAGAGAGAGGGGGAGAGAGGGAGAGAGAGAGAGACAGAAAGAGGGAGCGGGAGAGAGAGAGAGACACACACACACACACAATGTTATGGAACATATACAAACATCAATCCTGTACTTAGCCACAAAGAAAAATGTCAAATTCAAAAAAAGTAGGTATTTCCAGGCCACATTTACCAATCATAATAAAATTTGAGGTTACATAATTTAGGATGCTTTTGGCTGAAAAGTTAACCAAACATCCAACTAAAATTAACTTCAGCAATAAAGGTTTATTTCTTACATAACAAGGCATCAAACAGACAGTTTCTGAATGGGCCTCGTAGTTGTGTTGTCAGGGCTCCAATCAGCTTCTCTGAGGCTGTTTCCTCCTCCTGATTCCAAAATGGTTGCAGCAGCTCCAGGCATCATGTTCTCATAGGAAAATGTTTAAAAGCAGGAAAGCAGAGGGGAGTCTTTCTAATGTATCTGTCTCTTCTGAATGAGGAAAATCTTTCCCAAAGCCCTGCAGGTCCATCCCTGGAACACACTGGCCATACACTGGAACATATGGGCTATCCTGAGCTGCAAAGGAGGCTGAAAATTAGCATCTGACATCTTTAGGTTCTAAGGCAAAACCCAGATGCTGTCAATAGGAAGGGGAATTGGGTATGGTTGCTGGGTAGGCAATCAATCCCTTCTATCTGTGACAGAAGTTATAAAAGATAACCCAAAACAATTAATGTGGAAATTAAGAAACCATCTCCTAAATTTAGTTTACTCTTAGATGAGGGAAGAAATAAAAACTGAGATTATTGTAAGATAACCACTTTATATTTCATCATTTTGTATTCATTTGTTCTTTCATCACCTGAGTGTTTGGTATTCTCTTTTCTGGCTTCTTGAATAGTACATTTAGTATATCTGAGTATAATATTTCAGGTTTTCATGTTTAACAAGGCCATAAAAATTCTGAGTAGCGTTAGCCACATCCCATGTCTGCTGGCATGTAAAACTCTGTCGTTCTTTCCTTTACCATTCATGGTAATTGCAAGATTTATTTCCTTGTTAACTCAAGAATAGTGTGGCTGTTTTCTTTTTTCTTTCCAAAAAAATGAAAACTTTTTATTATTGTTAAAATTATTACACAGTGGTTAGAAAAGGTGAATTGGGAATGTGTTAAAAGACAAAATTTTTCCAACCTTTCCTCGCTTCTTTGACAATCATGGTCTCAACGACTTACATCCGTAAAATTTTTCTTCAATATGAATTTTATGACTCAAGATACTAAGGTCAGCTCTGAATGAAGGCATTCCCACTCATGTTACACTGAAGTGTTTCTCCGACATATAAGGAGTAAGCTGTGACAAGCCTATGCCAAAGGGCTCTCCCCAGTACTTCCATTCATATGATTGCTTGCTAACATAAATTCCCTGATGATGAGCAAGGGATAAGTGCTGATGGAAGGCTTTTCTACATTTATTAAATTCCCTTGTGTTTCTCTATTTTGCATTCGCTGATGTTGAACAGTGGTTGAATCATGATTTAAAGTCCTCCCACCTTCCTTATAGTCATAGAGCTTTCCCTCAGTATGAACGACCTGATGTTGGATCAGTTGTGAGCAGTGACTGAAGGCCTTCCCACAGGCCTTACATTCATAGGGCTTTTCGCCCGTATGAATTCTGTAATGCACAGTTAGATGTGACACCCGTTTGAAAGCCCTAGTGCATACCTTGCACTGGTAGGGTTTCTCTCCAGTGTGAATCCTCTGGTGCTGCTTAAGTTGTGAGCTCACTCTAAAGGCCTTCCCACATGCCTTACATTCATAGGGTTTCTCACCGGTATGAATTCTCTGATGCCGAATAAGAGTTGAGCCTTGATTAAAGGCCTTCCCACAGTCCTTACATTCATATAGCTTCTCGCCAGTATGAACAGTCTGATGTTGAATCAACTGAGACCGATGACTGAAGGTCTTCCCACACTCCTTGCAGGCATAGGGCTTCTCACCCGTATGAATTCTATAATGTACTTTAAGATGTGAGATCCGATTGAAGGCCTTCCCACACTCCTTACATTGATAGGGTTTCTCTCCAGTGTGAATTCGTTGATGTTCAATCAGCTGTGAGCTCCGACTAAAGGCCTTTGCACAATCCTTGCATTCATAAGGTTTCTCGCCAGTATGAACTCTCTGGTGTTGTATGAAATTTGAACCTGAATTAAAGGCCTTTCCACATTCTTTACACTCATAGGGTTTCTTGCCAGAATGAATATTCTCATGTTGAATTAGTCGTGAGCCATATTTAAAGGCTTTCCCACATTCCTTACATTTATAGGGTTTCTCATTAGTATGAAGTCCTTGATGACTAATAAGGAAGTCCTCTGGCCAGAAGTCTTCTCTGCATTCATCATATCCACAGGGTTTGTCTCCAGTATGAATTTTCTGATAAAAAGTAAGGGATGCTTGCTGGTCGAAAGTGGGCACTTCTTTGTGATTGATTGTCATTTGTCTCAAATGTCCATTTGGATTTCCCTGTTGCCTGTTAAACTGGCTTCTGCATTCCCAATCGTCTTGGAAACTCGAGCACTCAAGACCGTAACTTGTAAGGCCTTCCCTTATCTCCCACCGGGGGGACCGCACTTCACAAATGGGCTGCTTTGGAGACAATACCTTAGTATCATACCTGGACTCCAATACTGCAAAAGAACAAAAAGGCAAGGATGTGTTTGTTTGTTTGTTTGTTTGTTTTTACCTCTTCAGAGTAAGGAACTTGTGTAGTAAAAATTGGAAATTTAGACTCAACACAATACCTATAGCTCTTGAATCTGCCTAAGCCATTAGAAAATGGACAAGTAGAACAGAGAAAGATGAAATACCATAAATGAGATCAGTGAGATAATCAGAGAGGTTTTAAGTGTAGTTCGAAAATACTAGTATGAATCAGGATCACCACGTTTTTAAAAAATGAATGTTTCTATGTAACCCTAGAAAAGACAAATACAATCTAGAGTGGCAGAATGCAAAGCACTGGCTGCCTGGGGCTGCGGTATGAGCAATGGTGTAGGAAGGAAATAAAGGGGACTTTTCAGGGTGATGGAAATGTCCTCTATGTTGACTGTGGTAGTGGCTACACGAGTGTATATATTTGTCAATACTCATCAGAATATTTTACTTTAAATGTGGGTGTTTTATTGAACATAAATTATACCTCGATAAAGTGGATTTTGTAAAATGATGGCGAGGATGCTTGGAAGGTCATCTGGCCGGAGGAACATGCTGGCGTACCTTCTTGCTAGGGGGTATGGTGGTACAGGGCGGGGAGTGGGGGAGAGCATTCTCACATGTCCACTGGATGCTATAATAAGCCAGCTGCAGCCTCCTGCTGTGACACTTCCTATCTCTGAAGTTTAGCTGACACCATGGCTAGACATGGTATCAACTGGACCAGTTTCTCCAGGAACTTTCTGGTGCCTAAGGGTGATCTTGTTAAAAGGAGGGCCTTGTTCCTTGTTGAGAGGATTAGGCCCCAGTTTAAGGGGGAGTGGCCTCTTCCAGACCAACATTCTTCGCTGCTCATTCAAACTGCAAGGAAAAGCGAAATGGTATACTTGGTCCTGATTCTACCTGGTACATGATTTCAGCTGTGGTGGCCCGTTTTACTGCAGTCATAACACCCAATCCCATTTGGCTTATAAAGAATCAATTGCAGTGATGCAAAGAACTACAGGGCAACGTGAATGGGTGCTCTTGAAGGTGTTCATGAAGTGTATCATATAGATGGCCCAACAGGACGTTAGGTGAGCATGTCTGCCTCATATGGTGGCAAATCAGAGGCTGAGATTTATTTTGTTATTTGTGTAAGTATTTATTAGTGAAAACTACAGGAATGTAAGATCACTTCTATGATGTAAGATGATGAAGAGCCTGAGAAAGAAGAATCAGATTTTGTGGGAATGATACTGCTGTCACTTCAAACACTTGTGCCACAACTGTAGCATGTCCACATGAAGTTGTGAGAACAAGACCGTGAAGAGGGCACAAAGGACAGGTGTTTTTTCAGGTGCCATGTTTGCATGTTCAAGAGGAAGGTTATGGGTCTCATTACTGTGTGGTCTGACAACTCCAGGCAGGCAGATTCCCAACACAGCCATTATGACAGCCACCTATGAACCAGTGGTTGAGCTGCTCCATGGTTAGTGACACCTGGCTGCCATCCCACAATGGAAAACTAAAAGGCTGCGGTGGGCCATGGAGTAGTAAAGCCTGCCTGGTGGACAGACACTAGTTTGGGAACGCGAAACTGTGCCCAAATGGAAGACTGGTTTTAGGAATTAAAGTGATCACACATTACTTGGTTTTTCTGGCAGTGTGGGAAAACCCTCTGCTGCCTCTAAGGACATTCCTTTAAAAGCATTCCTGTCTTTAAATTGCCACTTTTTCTATCACAGACACCTGACACAGCTGAGTTTGTTGAATTATGACAGTCAAGGTATAGTGTTGTTTATTCCAGGAGTAGTTTTCCTCTTACCTAAAGTAAGCCATCACTAATTAAATATTGTATTATAACTATCCACAGATAGGACTGGCAGTCATAATTTTCTAACTTCTGGCTTCAGTTCAATTCTCTATAAAGTTGCAAAGTAGAAATGATAATAGTGAGGTTGTCTGTATTATTTTCATGTTTTCCTGACAGGACCAAGCACAATTATTTTACAGTTAATTATTTAGTATTCATAGTCACTATTTTGGATAACCAATAAAATAATGTCAAAAAATCTTATGTGTAGTCTTAACATTAAAATGTTTTGGTTTCCTCATATGGAACCTCAAGGGATCTCAAATAGTCAAACAATCTTGAAAAGAAAGAACAAAATTGGAGGTCTCACAGTTCCTGACTTCAAAACATATGACAAAGCTACAGAAATTAAAACAGTGTGGTACTGGCATAAAGGCAGACATGTAGACCAATGGAACAGAACGGAGCCCAGAAATATACCGTCATGCTTGTGGTCAAATGATCTTTGACAAGGGTGTAAGACCATGCAATGAGGAAAGGACAGTCTCTTCTACAAATGGTGTTGAGAAAACTGGATATCCACATGCAAAAGAATGAAGCAGGACCCTTACCCTCCACCATGTACAAAAATTAACTCAAAATGGAATGAAGACTTAAACACAGGGTCTAGGACTATAAAGCTCCTAGAAGAAAACACAGGGGAAAAGTTTCACAGCTTTGTATTTGGCAATAATTTCTCGGATATGGCACGAAAAGCACAGACCACAAAAGCAAAAGTAGACAAATGGTACTACATCAAACTTAGAATTGCCTGTGCATCAAAGAAAACCATTAATAGAGTGAAAAGGCAACCTACGGATTGGAAGAAAATATCTGCAAACCATATATCCAGAATATGTAAAGAACTCCTACAACTCAACAGCAAAAAAAAAAAACAAAAACCAACCCAACCTGATTAAAGAATGGGCAAAGGACTTGAATAGAAATTTCCCTGAAGAAGACATACACGTGGCCCACAAGCACATAAAAAGATGCTTAACATCACCAATCATTAGACAAATGCAAATCAAAACTAGAAAGAGACCTTGCCTCCCAGCCATTAGGATGGCCACTCTAAAACAAACCAAATAGAAAATAACAAGTGTTGGTGAGGATGTGTAGAAATTGGAACCCCTGTGCACTAATGGTAGGAATGTGAAATGGTGCAGTTGTAAGGAAAACAGTATGGAGGTTCCTAAAAAAATTAAACATTGAACTTCCATATGATCCAGGAATTCCACTGCTTGGTATACTATACCCAAAAGAATTGAAACCAAATCTAAATGAGGTATCTTCAAAACCACGTTCACTGCAACATTATTCACAAGAGCCAAGAGGTGGAAGCAACCCAAATGTCCATCCACAGATGAAAGGATAACAAAATTGTGGTCCTATACATACAGCCTTAAAATGGAAGGAAATTCTGTCACATGCTATGACACAGATAAACCTGAAGGACATCATGCTAAGTGAAGGAAGCCAGACACCAAAGGCCACATACTGTGATTACATTTATGTGAAATGTCCACAATAAGAAAATGCATAAAGAGCAGATGAGTGGTTGTCAGGGGCTGAGGGGATGGGGAGTAACTGCTTTCCTCTGGGGTATGTCTAGGAAAAACACACGCTCAACACCACTCTACTCTCCGTATGTCACTTCTGGTCACGAAACGTGTCAGTTTACCCCCACACTGAGCGATTCTCAGCTCCCTCGCACATACTGACTGGGCGGCCCACAATTTTAATTCAATTCTGACACTGTCTTTCTGCAGATAGTGTCAGACCCCACAGGTTAGGGGCTTGCTCCATAGGGCTGTCTCTGGCTCCATTGCCCCCCCCCATAAATTGGAGGTTCCCATGACCCCCTCCTGGGGTTCAATCATTTGCTAGAACGGCTCACAGAAAAATAGCTTATTCACTAGATTACCAGTTTATTACAAAGTATACAACTCAGGAGCAGCTAGATGGAAGAGGCATAGGGCCAGGTGTGTGTGTGTGTTGGGGGCGAGGTGGGGAAATGAAGCACCCACGCCTCTCCAGGTGCCACCCTCCAACCTCCATGGGCTCACCTACCCGGAAGCTCTCTGAACCCCAGACTTTAGGGATTTTTAGGAAAGTTCCATTACGTAGGCAAGATTGATTAAATCTGGCCATTGACAATTAACTCAACCTCCAGCCCCTCTCTCCTCCCTAGAAGTTGGGGAGAGGGAGGGAGGTAGGACCACAAGTTCCAACCCTCTGATGACTGGTTCCCCTCTAAAACAGTCCCCACCCTGGCTGAAGCTATCCAGGAGCCCCCAGTCACTCATCAGCACACAAGAAGACTCATTACTTCACAGATTCCAAAGGTTGTCAGAGCTGTGCCAGAAAATGGAGATGAAGATCAAATACGAGGTGTGATCAAGCAATATGGTGTTTAAATTAAATAAAAATTTATTACAGTAAAAGACACATTGCCATTAATCCCCCTCAAAATACTCCGCCTCGCTTCGAACACACTTATCCCATCGTTCTTGCCACTTTCTGAAGCAGTTCTGGAAGTCCTCTTTCATGAGTGTCTTTAGTTGCACTGTTGTGGCTGCCTCGATGTCCTGAATCATTTTGACTTTGGGAAAGGGCCAGAAGTCGCATGGTGCCAGATCTAATGAATAAGGTGGATGAGGACACACCGTAATGCTTTTATTTGACAGAAATTGCTGTACCAGAAGTGATGTGTGACATGGAGCAGAGCATTGTCATGATGGAAGGTAATTTACAGCACACTTTTAAACACATCTTCTCTCAACCATAGATCACACCTGACTGCACTGAACAAGTTGAAACTTGTCACACACTGTTACTAAGGTTCAACGTGTTGCTTCTGTATTGAAGATCCCTGGCTTTCCGTTGGAAGTCACTTGGCAGCAGCATTTACCTGATTTCTGATCACAAAGGGAAAGGCTCCGTGTCAGAATGCTTCTGGTACAGCAATTTCTGTCACATAAAAACATTACATTGTGTCCTCATCCACCTTATTCACCAGATTTGGCACCATGCGAATTCTGGCTCTTCCCCAAAGTCAAAATGACCATGAAATGTAAACGTTTTGAATCAATTCAGGACATTTTGAGGGCATCCAGGACAGTGCAACTAAAGACACTCAGGAAAGAAGACTTCTAGAACTGCTTCAGAAAGTGGCAAGGACGAAAAGGATAAGTGTGTTTGAAGCGAGGGGGAATATTTTAATGGCAATGTGTCTTTTACTATAAAAAACTTTTTTAAATTTAAACATTTACCATATTTTTGATCACGCCTCATACATATTTCTTATTATAAATCATGATATCAGAGGGTGATAAAAACATTCTAAAACTAGTTAACAGTGACAGTCATACAACACTGTGACTGTACTAACTACCAATGAACTATACCCTTGAAAGTGATTATAAAGGTGAAATGTTATGTATTTTTATCATTTTTTAAAAATTAAAATTAAACTTAAAAAGGAAATTTTCTGGAAAACGTAAAAATTACCACAACATGCTCAATAAATGCAACACTTGCATGGTTAGATCAGTATTCAATGTTAGGAAATCTATTCACATAACCCAGGTTTTTAAGAGACTGAAAAAGAAAAAAAACAACTCAAGATTTGAAAAGTGGATGCTTCTTTAACCAAATAAGTAAAAAACATCTTACTCATATACCCAAGTTTGATATTCTGTTTAATGAGAAAATACTAAAAACTTTGCTATTAAGGTCAAGAACAAGATTCAGAAGTACACTAGTTCCACTAACACTGTTCTGGGGGATCCTATATAATCAGCCTCCTAATCAAGCAAGAGAAAAAAACCTAAGAGGTATAAAAATGCAAAAACATTATCACCATTTGCAGATGATATAAGTGAATACTTGGCAAGCTCGAAAGAATTACATAGAAAACAGTGATAAACAGTGAAAAAATTCAGGAAGTTGGGTTAGCTACAAAATTAATCTAAAGATATGAATGGCTTTTATCATATAAAAAATAACCAGTTTGAATATAATATGTGTGAATGTCACATTATATTAGTCCATATTATGGATTATGCCATTTCCAATAGCAGCAATAAATATAAAATACCTGGGAATAAATGAAGAAGAAACATACAAGATCTGTATAAAGAAAATGTTTAACCTTCATTGGGGTGGATATAAACGAAAGGGAAAGCCTAACACGACCTTCGATAGCAGGCTCCACTTAAGAGAGAAATCAGTTTTCTCCTGAATTAATCTATAAATTTATCATGACCTCAGTAAGAAAAATTACATGATTTTCTTTCTTTTTTTTTTTTTTGAAGCCAGATAGTCTGATTCTAATGTTCAGATGGGAAAATAAATGAGAACAGCCAGGAAATCTGAAAAATAAAATGAAGAGGAGGGCCGGCCGAGTGGCACGATGGTTAAGAACTGCTTGGGACGCCAGAGGGCCCCGGTTCGGATCCCACATATGAAGGCCAGTGACACTGCCCTCCACAGCTAAGATGCTGACCAACAGCTCAACCTGGAGCTGGCTGCTGTGAGTCACCGGCGATGGCGTAGGCTGCAGCCCCTGTGGCAGTGGGTTGCCATGGGCTACCGTGTGTGGCCAGCAGTCAGCGTGAGCGGCCAGCAGCCGCAGTGAGCAGCGGTCCAGAAGCCGGCGACTGATGTGCCTCACCTGGGAAGAGCGCAATGATGGTGCCCGTGAAGCAACGTCCTCCACAACTAGACTGAAGAACAAAACGACAGCAACTTGTCTGTTCTCCTTCCCCCAATTCCCCAGCGCTGTTCCCATCCCCCCAATTCCCCAATAAAAATCTTTAAAAAAAAAATGAAGAAGAAATAATTCTATCAGGTTTTTAAAACATATATAAGCCCTCAATAATTAAAACAGCATGGTGGTGTCATATAATTAGACAGAAAGACTAATGGGATAGAACAAAGTCCAAAAATAGATCCAAACACAGAGGTAAAATAGAAGATGATATAGGTGGCTTTAGAGATTCGTGGGGAAAAGATAAAATTAGCTAACCAATGCTATTTGAACAACTAGATAACAATGTGAAAGTTAATGTGAAATCACATCTTACAGTAGGATAAATTCCAGATGGATCATATTATAATAAATAAACTAGAAAAACATAGCAGACTCTGTAACCTCAGAGGGAGATGTCCCCTTTAAATACGACACAAACCCACACATCTAAGGAGTAAAAAACTGAGGAAAGAAACAAGCAATCAAACAGTGTGCTGTCCAAACTCAAAACCAAAAGTTCTCTGACATCACAGGTGTGGTAGGCAAAATAACAGCCTCCCAAGGTGCCCCCATCCTGATCCCTGGGACCTGAGGACACAGATTAAACGGCAGCACACGTCTTCACTCCTGACACTCAGGCCACACCTGATCTCGCTCACTGCCAGGGGCCAACTGCCACCTGACTGTGGTGAGTCCACACCTGTGATGCTCAGGTCTTAGCTCCCAATTTGAAGTGCTCTTATAGTACATTGTGGAAACTGTTTACTGATGTTTTTGGTCTCCTGTCACATTGTGACTGGTATTCAATCAGGGAAGATTCTTTCCCCACCCAGGACATTTGGCAATGTCTGGAGACATTGTTGTCCCAGTGACAGCAGGGGTATCTAGTGAGTAGAGGCCGAGGAGGCTGCTATATATCCCACAGTGCAGCACGGCCCTCCACAACAAAGAATTATCCTGCACAAAATATCAGCACCCCTGAGACTGAGAAACCCATCATCCAGTGCGGGAGCACTGCCAGCAGAGGGGACAGCCCTGAGGCAGGGCTGTGCTGGCAGTGTCAAAGCCAGGATGTGCCACCATGGCAGAGCTGAGCAGCTGTGACACAGACCACATGGGCTCCCAATGCCTAAAATATTTACTATTTATCCCTTTAAAGAAAACACTGGCCAACCCCTATGCTAACAGAACAGCAAAGAGCTTGGGTGGCTCTAACCAAATGAGCCTTAGGGAGAGTGACAGATGAAATCAGGGGAACCAGATCACGTAGAGCAACACAGAACAAAACTTTCTGTGATACTGAAAATGTTCCACTCTGCGCGGTCCAATATGGAAGCCACTAGCTCCACAGGACTACTGCGCATTTGAAATGTGCTAGGGTGACTATGAATGAAATTTACATTTTATTTAATTTTAGTTGAAATTTAAATTTAAATAGCGTGTGTGGCTGGTGGCTACTCTATTGGCAGCACAGATGTAGAACCTTCTAGGCCATGGTATGGATTTTGGAGTTTCGCTGAGTGAGATGGGAAGTCTTCGGCAGGTTCTGGGCAGAGATGTGATACACACTCACTGAAGTGTAGAGAGAAGCAGTCGCTCTGGCAGTTGTGTGGAGAACACGCTGTAGTGGACAAGAATGGAAGCAGAGGGACAGGAAGGAGGCTACTGCAACAGTCCAAACCACAGAAGATGGTGGTGGGGAAGTGGGCAGTAGCAGTGTACCAGTTAGAAGTGGTTCAAATCTGGATTATTTCAAAGTAGAGTGAACAGGATTTGCTGACAGACTAAGGAAGTGTGTGGAAGAGAGAAGTCAAGGGTGCTTCAAGAGTTTTTGACTTGAGCAAAAATCGAGCGCCCTATTACTGAAGTGCAAAAGACGGGGGAAGGGTAGACTTGGTAGGGGGGACCCAGGACTCCTTTGTGGACTTGTTAATTTCAAAGCCTGGTGGGCACCCCAGTGGCCATGATGAGAAGGTGGTTCGATATAAGTAGCTGGAGGTTTAGGGAGAGGCCGAAGGCGAATGTAACCATTTGCGTGTCCGACAGAACTTTCCACAATGATGTAATGTACCTGCATTGTTCAATACAGGGGCCACAGGCCACAAGTGGCTACCGAACATTTGAAATATGGCAAGTGCAACTGAGGTACTGAAGTTTTAAGTGTACTTCATTGTAATTAACTAAATTTCAATGGCTACATGGGGCCAATGGTGCCATACTGGACAGCACAAGTATGCATGGTATTTACAGCATGGTCATGGACAAAGTTGTGAGGGATGGAAATAATAGGAACGAAGAAGCCCAAGTCTGAGCCCTGGGGAACTCCAACATTTAGAGACTCCGAGAAGATCCACCAAAGAAGGCTGAGAATGGGGTAAACAGGCAGGCGAGAAAAAGATGTAGTAATGGCCCAAATATACAGAAATGCTTCAGAAAGGGACCCGCTTTTGTCAAATGCGTTGACAAGCTACAGAAGATGATGACTGAGACCTGACCTCTGAGTCTGGCGACTTGGAGGAAAGGGCCTGCTTCCTGCCACCCAACCGGATGGTTATCTGTGGTGGCTTCTCTCTTCCCGCGCATGCATCACTCACCTGGGCACACACCTCGGGTCTCTGCCCTCTCTACCATCCAGGGCTCTTTGCCTTGCTCCAGGAAGGAGATCACATCAGGTTTGGAAATGGCAAGATCTGGGTGTGAGAAAAAACATGCCACCGGGTTATGGTGTGGACCCCAGAATTGAGATCCACAACCTGGTCATCGAGGAGGAGAGTCAGCTGCAGGAAGGGCCAGGAGAAGGCATGACTGTCACCCGACAGTTGGGGAAGATGTAGCTTCAGCCCACAGAGCTGCCCTTTAACCACTCAAGAGTAACCCAAGATTAACAAGGAAGAAACAGATATGCCCAAGGGTAACCTACAAACTAATAGACCAGGTCACCTTACCCAGTGAGACCAGGTTGCTGTAGGTCTCCAACATAACGTCTCTGTACAAATCCCTCTGAGCTGGCGCCAGCCGTTCCCATTCTTCTTGGGAGAAGACTACAGCCACGTCCCTGAACAAGTCTGACCCCTGGAAAAACAGGCAGGTATTCTGTCATATGCACACATCAAGGACATGTCTCTGGTGGCATGAGGGGAGATGGAGGAGGTCTGTGCAGGAATGGAGTGTTCTAGAGAAAGAGAGGCTGGGGGCTGGAGGCCACTGATGTGAGTGGATGACAAGAGAAAATGGGCATCAATAAAATAGAAGGTTTAATGTTTTTGAAAATTCCTTTTTATTACAAACCAAAACTATTGTATAGAGGCCTGGGATGAAAATTAAAATCCAACTAAATGGAGTTTTCCCAATTGTGACAGTGTAATAAAGTACACTGCCTATTCTGTCTTTGGCATATACTAAATTCTCAATGTGAGACCTAGAATTTCTACTTTTATGGGGGAAAAAAATCCCAAACCAATCATTTTTGCTAGGAGAGGACAATGGGAGACTATACTAGCTGCCTGGTCCTTTCACTCCCTAAAATGGGAACCTCTGAGAAGCAGATTCTTGGATAGAAACCAGGTGGAAGCTGCAGGATAAGGAAAGCAAGTATTTACATGATTTTAAACTCACGAGGGACATGACTTTTAGAATTTCATGGGCTGATGGGTCCGCCTCCTGGCTCCTCTCTTGGGGAAGGGCAGAGTCCTGAGATGGTAGAGCTGGGGGAGGAAATAACAAATATGAGAGGCCAGGCTTGCCTCACAGCTCCTAGAATGCCATGGTTACAAGTCCCCATTCCCTAACCCCCACCTACCACATAAATTAGAGGGAGTTGGGACAAATTGTGGCCCTCACCCAACTTTAGGAAACCCAGCTTCAGCTGCAGCAAGGAGACAGGGAACTAGTGGCCCTTTCTCTCTAAATACCCAGAGAATTCCACCTTGTTACTGATACAGACCTGAGACGGATCCTCAGACCTGGCCCGGTGACTGAGACCACAATGGTGTCCCAAAGACCAGGAAGACTGTCCTCAGGCCAGGAAACACAGACAGCCCAGCCCACAATGAGGCCTTCCCAGAACCAGACCATTTTTAACTCCCCCATGCCTACAATGTAACAAACACCTTCAAAAGTTTCCCTGGCACTTTCCCCAACTTCCAATTTCACAAACAGTCCCACAGCCCTACTTAAGGCCTGGTGGGCACCACTTTGTGGATGAATCCTGCCTTGAGTCAACAGATTGGGTGTGACTACAAATTAGATGGAGCAGGTCCTGTGCTCCACTATTGGCACATAAATAAGGCCCTGCACAGAGAAATAAGTGTGCAAAGCTGCGTGCACAATATTTGCTGGAAAACATAACTGAATATTAGTATGTAACAAAGCAGGTTAGTGGTCAAATCAATTTTGGCACAGCCCGATGATGGGTGCCAAGCAACTATCAAAAATCGACATGGGGCAACGTTAAATGATAATGAAAGACAGTCACAACTGGGCCCTTTATACAACATTAAAACATTCAGCAAAAGAAGTCAAACGCACCCACCTACTGACACATGGCCTAAAAATAACAAAAAAAACCAAACCAAAACCAATACTGGAATAGAAAACATCCAAGTATTAAGAGTGATGTTATCTAACAACTTCTTGAGTTCTTTATAAAGAAGCTTAGGACAATGCCCACCATGTTACAAATATTTAATTCTTTTTTTTACAAGTATTTACTCTAAGTAGTGAGTAAATGAGATAATTACGAATGTTCCTTAATATCATGAAAATAGGAATTTTTCCTTACTGGGACCACTGTTTTAGCATTATCTGTAATAGCTGTGTAATGTTTTTATTATATGAGTGGCCAATCATTTACTCAACCATTTCCCCATTGTTGGACACAGATTTTGAACAAAATCATCTAAAATGTTCCCAAGTATAAGTCGGTTTTTAAACTAGTGATTCTAAATCTTCTGGAGTCTTGCAACTCTTTGTGGATCTCATAAAATAAGACTTCGTCCGAAATTAAAAAAAAAAAAAGGCACGCAAAAGAATGAATGCAAAACACCCGCAAGCATTTTCAGTGGGTCGGGACCCCTCCACACCCCCCTAAGGGGTCCATAGGGCGGGGCAATGACCAGGGACGCAGAAAGGAGGTGCCAGCGAGACGCGCGCCGCGGGGACCGATGGGAAATGTAGTCCAGAGCAAGAGAGGCCGCAGACCGAAGCTGAAGCGAGACGTTCCGGTTCTTCCCAGGCTTGAGACCCGCCCGGCCGCGGCGCTCACTCTCGCACGGACGCCAGAGTAGCCGGCAAACTCCGGAGCCCCTCACCTGCCGCCTCCTCGGGTCCAGGTGCCACTGCGGCTGCGCCCTCCGCATCCCCTGGTGCGCTTCCTCCTCGGTACAGGCGGACTCGCCGCCTGGAGCCGGAAGATGGTGCAGACGCACAAAGCCGCAACAGTGCTGCGTCGCGATTGGGTCAGCGCCGCAGTGTCGTCTGGGAGACGTAGTCTCTAGGCGTAAAGGCCGTAGCCAAGACGTAAGCCCGGGTCTCGAGATGTTTTGGAGTAGGCAGGACCAGAGCGTGCGTGCGTGGGGACCATCGGGTGACACGACGGCGTGTGTACTGTTCTGTTGGGGTGTGTGGTGGGGTGTGTGTGTGAAGGTATGTGTGTGGGGTGTGCAGTCTGCACGCGATTGTCTCTCTGCAGTGAGTGTGTGAATGGCCGTCACTGTGTGTGCGGTGGTTCTTGTGACGGTGTGTGTCGTGTTTGGTTCTGACTGGCCCTTGAGTGTGTGACTGTGCTAAAGTGTGTGTGAAAAATGTTCTCATCTATTAAATCACTGTTTCTGTGGAACAGACATTTTACCAGGTTTGGAGGGATGGGAAACCCAAGAGTTTATCTGGTGACTAATTTTAAACATTATAGGTGTGATCACAAAATACGGTGGATGTTTAAATTTTAAAAACTTTATTACAGTAAAAGACACATTGCCATTAAAATAGGCCCCCTTACTTCAAACACATTTACCCCATCGTTCTTGCCACTTTCTGAAGCAGTTTTGGAAGTCCTCTTTTTTTTAAAGGATTTTATTGGAGAACAGTGTTTTTCCAGGACCCAGGAGCTCCAAGTCAGGTAGTTGTTTCAATCTAGTTGTGGAGGGTGTGGGGATCGAACCGGCAACCTTGGTGTTATGAGCAAATGCTCTAACCAGCTGAGTTAACTGGCCGCCCTTGAAGTCCTCTTCCGAGAGCATCTTTAGTTGTTCTCTTGTGGCTGCTTCGATGTCCTGAATCGATTGAAAAACGTTTACCTTTAATGGTCATTTTGACTTTGGGGATGAGCCAGTGAATAAGGTGGATGAGGACACACTGTAATGGTTTTTTTTGTTTTTTTTTTGTTTTTGTTTTTTTTAGCTGAGCCATCCTGCTACCTCTTGGCAGCTCAGCGGCTGCTCAGCTTGGGCTGGACTCGAACCGCTGTTGCTCAGAGCTCAAACTCTTGAGTGAGCTCTTAACCAACTGAGCCACTCGGCCGGCCCGCACACTGTAATGTTTTTATGTGACAGAAATTGCTGCACTAGAAGCGATGTGTGACACAGCCTTTCCATTGTGATCAATAAATAAGGCTAATGCTGCTGCCAAGTGCCATCCAAGGAAAAGGCAGGGATCTTCAATACGGAAGCAGCAAGCAGCACGTTGAACCTTAGTTACAATGTGTGACAAGTTTCAACTTGTTCAGTGCAGACAGTCAGGTGTGAGCTACAGTTAAGAGAGGTGTGTTTAAAAGTGTGCCACAAATCATCACCCATCATGACAGCACTCCGTGTCACACATTGCTTCTGGTTATGACAATTTCTGTCAAATAAAAACATTATGGCATGTCCTCATCCACCTTATTCACTGGATCTGGCACCGTGCGACTTCTGGCTCTTCCCAAAGTCAAAATGATTCAGGACATTGAGGACAATGAGGTAACATTCAGTTACACGACAGCGTAACTGAAAACACTCATGAAAGAAGATTTCTAGAACTGCTTCAGAAAGTGGCAAGAATGATGGAATAAGTGTGTTTGAAGCGAGGGGGAGTATTTTGCATTCACTGTATTGTTTGATCATACCTTGTATCTATGTTGAAATAAATGTATTGTGAAGGAGAATGCAAAAATCAGCAAAAATGTTTTAAGTGAAACGTGAAGGCGTTTCCTGTTATGGGGTGACATCTCTTGGCCAAGTCCCCCACTGCCACAGATAATTCAACCTCAGTGTATGAAAAAGTGAGAAGCCCTGGTTTTTCCACATCCCAAGGCAGCATGGTCTGTACGGTCAGGGGTCTGATGTCCTGGATATTGGTCGGGTCCTATTATGCCTGGCTCTAAATGAGGAAGCCATCGCTGTCCAAGGTGGTACAGTTTGTCTTGGAGCCAGGCCCAGAGTCCCCCTAGGAAATAGACAAGTTGAGTATCAAATAGAATCTTGTGCCCAAAAGTAGGGAAATGTTCCAAAACCATCAGGGAAAATTCCCTGCTTCCAACTGTGATGGTGTAATTGTAGTAAGTTTGCCGTCCCACTCTAAACAAAACTAGATACTGGGTATAAAACAAATGTTTTCAGACATTGGAGAACTGGTGGTGCAAGACTTTGATCCCTGCAAGAAGGGAAATAAATGAAATCCTGCTGCAGTGGCTTTCTGTCTGAAGGCATATTCCAGACCTCAAAGCAGAGAGGAGGAATCAAAGCAGAGCACCAATTGGCTAAGTTGACAGCACAGTTGGGGGAAACTGAAGGAACTATAATTTTTGGGCAGAGTGTGGAAGAGGAGTTGGTATTTCCACCAAAAGAGACGTGGGTGGAGGAAATCTACCTCCGCCTTCAGAGTGGTGGATGAACTACTGCAGAACCTTGGAGAAAGCATCTTCAGAGTCAGAAGACATTTGCTTCATGATGTCACAGAGGCCATAAGGCCTTATGGAAATAGTCAAAGAGACCGGACTTTCAGCTAGGACCTGGAGGAGATAGGGTACAATGGTACCCAGAGGAGATTACTGAACTATTTCAGGCTTGTGCTGAGTTGGACATTTCCAAGAAATGACTATAGAGAATGGAATTAATATCAAAGGCTTTTGGTCACTCCTGTAGGGTGGGTGGGTTAGCCAGACCTCATGAGGCTGAAGGTGAGGAACCTTAGATTCCTAAGTAAGGGTGATGGGTCATTTGTGGCCAGCCAGTCTAACCAGACTGGACTCAGATCTCAGACAGATAAACTGGGCTGCCTTCTCTGTTTGGTCCTGACCTGTGGAGCTCAACCACATTTCCTAGAAGTGACTTTGGCTCTGAGCCAATCATCTTCCTCTTCCACTGAAGGTCCATCTGAGGCCTAATCTAGGAATGGGATGGTACCAGAGCAAGAGTTGAGAAAGGGTTGGATTCTTTATATGTCTTAAAGGTGGAGCTGACAAGATTTGCTGATTTATTGGGTGGAGTAGCAAAAGAAAGAGTAGTCAAGGATAACTCCAGGGGATTCTGAGTTCAATAACTGAAGAACAGAAACATTTACTGGGCTAGGAAGACCTAGAAAGGAATACATTTGTGGAGGTAAGATTGGATGTTTGGTTTGGAATGTGATAGTTTGAAAGGTATGTTAGACATATAAGTGGAAATATGAATATCATTTTAGAGGAAAAGTCTAGGCTAGAATCTTAAATTAGGAAATATTTTTATTTAGGAATAAATTAGGAAGTATCAGGTGGGTCATAACTGATGACTAATGATGAGCACCTTTTAATTTGTGCATCTTTGGAGAAATGCCTATTCAAATCCTTTGCCCATTTTAAAACTGTTATTTGTGTTTTTATTAGTCACTTGTGTTCTTTACATAGTCTGGATACAAGTCCTTGTCAGATATCTAGACTGATTTTTGACCAAGGTACAAAAGCAATTGAATGAAGGAGGAATAGCCTTTTCAAGAAACAGTGCTGGAGCCATTAGATGTTCATAACACCCCTCCCCCAAAGAGAACTTTGACCTCACACTTCTAATAAAAATTAACTCAGATTACAGATTTAAATTTGCTCCAATACTAAAAAATCCATGAAAAAAATGTACTCCATCTTTATTGTGACTACTGAGGGCAAAATAAATGGGTCCTGTCTTTCAGGATTCCATCTTTTATCTGTACTAAAGATTATATCATTAGATTATTACATTACATTTAGATATATTGGGCAGACATCTGTTTGCTGATTGTTTATTTGAAATTGATAAATGTGTTTTTATGGAAGTCAAAGTAAATTTTTATTCACTTAGTGACCATTACCTGGTTTATAGGGTTCTGCCAACAGAAGAAGCTTAAGACATAATGGCTGAAAATGAAAAATGTTACTACAAATCTTCAGGCTGAAAATGTCTACTCTTTATACATTTATGAAATGTGAAAAAGGGTACAAAAGCCTGGCAGCTTATTAATGTCTTAACTTACATATGGTTTTTCTATGTGCTTTGAAAAAGCAAGGGGTAACATAAGCAGAATTTCAATACTCAAACACAAAACCAACTACAATTTTTGTGGATTGTGCTCCTTTAACTTTTACACATAGGAACAGTTATCCAATATTGCAGTCTTAGCACAATTATAACAACTTTGTTCCTACTCAAAAAAATTAGAAGTATTTTCACATTGAAAATCATCACACAATTATTTTTTATAAGTTGTACAGTTTTCAAACCAATAGATTACTGTTATTTAATCATTGTATTTGTAACCAAATTGTTTATGTCAACTCTTTCTTATAAACAATGTTCGGAAGAGTTGAGACAGAAATAAGAGATAGGACTAGGGTTAGTGTATAAAATATTTTCAAAGGCATAGGTTCAATAGGAATTGAAAGAATGAAGAACTGAAAGAATGATTTATAAACTGCTGTTTTTCTTTATAACGTATCACTTCCGAATATACATCAATATGTTTTTTGGTTTCTTTTAAATTTAATTTCTCCCGCATTAGAATGTCAGCTATATGTCGGGGGGAGGGGAGCGGGGGAGGATTTTTGTCTGAGTGTTTACAGTTGTGTCCCCAGCGCCTACAACAGTGCCTGGCACACAGGCGCTCAATAAATAGCTAGTAAGACAGGGAGGAGAGAGAAGAAACAAAGGAAAGAAAGAAATCCCGGACAACTTGGGCTCCTCACCACTCGTACATCCTCCCTGAACCCTTCTCTCGCTCACCCTCGGCGTTTTATCCTCCCAGCGTTGGACCGAGAATCCCAACAGACACAACGAAGTGCGGGCCCGCCCACTGCGCGTGCGCATCACAGCCCCATTCGCCACGCGCGTCGGGCGCGTTCACGGAGTTTGGATGCCTCAGGGAACCTAAGCAAGCTGCGCCTGCGCAGTCCAAGCCGGCCCGCCTAGGCCTGGGCGGGACTCGGTGGGGGAGCGTTGGGTTGTGCTGCCTGAAAGGGCGGAACGTGTCCTGGTTCTGAGTCAGAAGGTTAGAGGGTTTCGGTAACGCGGTAGAGACCACTCGAAAGGGAGGCAGCAGGAACCACCTAGGAACGCCCCCGGCGAGCAGTCCCAGGATGCCCCGCGCCCGTCCCCGGACTTCATTTCCCAGCGGGCACTGCGGTCGGAGCCGCCAGCAGCCGGAGCGCCGTGGCCCCTTTGTGAGTCGGCCTGCCCGGCCAGGGAGCGAGTCCCCGCCCCGACCATCGGGGAAGCTGGGCTCCCGGCCTCCGCCAGCCGACCGCGTGGATGGGAGGTGCCGACCCGCAGGGAGGAGGCGGTGAGGAGTCCGGAGTTGGCGGGCGCCTGGGCAGGCGTGTGTGTGTGTGTGGGGGGGGCCCTGTCACCGTGTGTGAGAGCGTGTCACCGCGTGTGTGAACAAAGTGGGACCATGTGTGATCGTGTGTACGTGTAAGACGGTGTCACCAAGTGTGAGACCGTGTCACTGTGAGGCTGTGTGATTGAAAGCGTGTGACAGTGTGAGAACCGGTGTGAACAGTTTGGCCGTGTGTGTGTGTGTGTGTGTGTGTGTGTCTGTGTGTGTGTCTGTGTGTGTGTCTGTGTGTGTGTGTGTGTGGCCATGTCACTGTGTGTGACTACGTGAGAACGTATGTGATCATGTCTATGACAATGAGTGTGCAACTGTGTGGCTGTGTGTGTGGTCATGTGAGACTGCGTAAGATTGTGTGACCTTAGGACTGCATGTGACAGTGTTAGGGAGTGTGACAATGTTAGTGTGACAGTGGACCCAGAATGGCCTTGTGTGACCCACTGTGAGGGGAGGGCAGGCTTCAGCGCAGGGACGTGTCCACAGGCTGCCAGGGGAGCCGCCAGCCGGAGGGACTGTGGTGGGCGGGAGGCTCTGGGTGCTTGGGGAGGGCAGTGTGCTCCAGGGTTTGGGGGACTGTGCTGCTGGAGAGCCGGAGATGAGGATGAAGGAGAAGAGATGGGGATTTAGCAGAGACGGGAGGGAGGAAAGGCGGGAGAAGGCAGAGAGCTGGAGAGGAAGAGAGACAGGAGCCCCAGCCTTAGGCCTGGACGGCAGAAGACCAGGCTGCTGGACCTTGGCCATCTCTGCTGCACGTCTTTCCAGCCCTTTCCTAGTGAGGAATGGAAGAAGAAAAAGGAAGAGGAGTCCTACAGTGTGCTACTTCTGAAAATAAATGGCTGAATGATGTTTATTGTTAGAAAAGGATGTCCAAGCACTGTGCTCTGTGCTTTACGTGGATCATCTCATGGGCCTCCCAACAAGTGATAAGGAGTAGGTACCATTTAATGGATGAGGAAACTGAGCTTTGGAGTGATCCTTAACTCCGGGGAGGTTACAGTTAGTGAGTGTCTAAGCACAGGCATTTTGATCCCCAAACCTAGTGGCTCTTACCACTAAGTTAGGCTACTTCTGAGATAATTGCTTTACTTTTCAAGGCAGTGAGGTTTAGTGGGAAATAACTCTTAATTAATGGGGTTCAATGACTGTTCATGCTTAGCTGCTCCCCTCCTCCAATCTCTTATGGGGGAATTGCTCATAAAAGTAAAGAGTAAAGAGATTTGTTTTCAGGTGCAATTGGTCATAAGCAAAGCAGAAGCAGGGTGTCCTGACTCTCTGATCCAGTGTCCTCCAAACCACACGACTGCTCTGATGCCTATTCTGTGTAAAGACGTTTTCTCTGAGGCATTCATGTTGTAGCTTATCTCACATTTTTGTACAAAGCATAGGGACATATTTCCTTTCAACAACATCATTTGGTGGAAAGATTAAAAATTGGACCTGGATTCCACTTGGGCCCTATTACTTATTACTATGAAACCTCAGATAATTTCACTGAAGAAAAGCCATCATGTGTGAAGGAGGTAAATAATCCTTAGTAATGCCATCCCAAAGGGTTAAAAACTGTTATTATTTATAATTATAAATGAGGAGGTGACTTATACAAAGTTTATATCGCGTTCTTGAGAAAAGAACTGTAAATTTAGACAGGAATGACCAATTCAGTTGACACCTCTAATCTGTGTCTGTGGAGGAGCAGAAGGGCAAAAGGAAGGAACGGAAGGTTTCTAGGCTGGTGATACTGTGAGCTGAGGGCAGGCCTGGCATTTTAGGGCTTCTTTCTTCCTCTCCAGCTTGATTTTCTCCAGACACTGCCCTTCTCCCAGAGAGGAGCCCGGAGGAGGAGGTCGGAAAAGCTGTCATAAATTCTTAAATTGTTAAAGCCATGTCTAAGGTAAGAAAGCATTTTTTTTTTTTTTAGATTTTTTAAATTGGGGAATTGGGGGATGGGAACAGCGCTGGGGAATTGGGGGAAGGGGAACAGACAAATTGCTGTCCTTTTGTTCTTCAGTCTAGTTGTGGAGGACGTTGCTTCACTGGCCCAAGTTGGCACCATCATTGCGCTCTTCTCAGGCGAGGCACATCAGTTGCCGGCTTCTAGACGGCCGCTCACGGTAGCTGCTGGCTGCTCACGCTGGCTGCTGGCTACACATGGTAGCCCATGGCAACCCACTGCAGCAGGGGCTGCAGCCTATACCGTCACCGGGGACTCATGGCAGCCCAGCTCCAGGTTGAGCTGTTGTTCAGCATAGGTGTAGAGGGCAGTGTCACTGGCCCTCATATGTGGGATCTGAACCGGTCTCTCTGGCGTCCCAAGCCAGCTCTTAACCAACACGCCACTCAGCCGGCCCAGAAAGCATTTCTTTTCTCCCCTGGAATGCCTTGTTTTTCAGGTGTTATATGAACATTTTGCTTTTCTTTCGAAACTCCCTAGCCTAACAAAATCCCATTCATTAGTGGCCTGGTCCTCATGTTCTCCAGTCCGGAAAAGGAAGTCCCCAAAAGCCCAGTGAGCTTCCTTTTTTTCTCAGCCAATATTTTCATTTTCATTCAAGGAAAAATTCAGCATCTCCTATGGGTTAGGTGTTCTGTTAGGAGCCCTCAAGAGGCAAAAATGCAGTCCTTGGTTATCTGGGTAACAGCAAGGAACCGAGAATAAAGATTGAAAGAGAAAAAAAAATGCACTCAGTGGTGGGATGTGAGAGCCTTCATTGTAGGGACTTGATTCATTGAGGTTGAAGTGTGTGTTCAGATGTGCCCACTAGCTTAGACCTTTCCCACAGACCTGGTTTGAGAGGGAGGCAAGGTGAGGGCTGTCCAGTACATGACAAGATCTCCTGCTCAAGGTGATTTTGAGCAGTGGGATGTTTTGGGTCTTGAGTCAGCTGGGTCAGCTGCGTTAGGGATTTTTTTCAGGCATGCTGTGGGGCTTTCAAGAGCATTACTCCAAGGGAGTGATGAGGTCCTGTTTTAGGAGCATCTTGAGTAAGCAGTGGGGCTACAGCTAGTATATTCTAGGTCATCCAGTTAACAGTGTTGGAATTAACATGGAAAAATAACAGGAAATTTTTTGAAAAGGAATAATACGAGGGGGCTGGCCTAGTGGTGCGTTGGTTAAGAGTTGTCTTGGGACACCAGCTCTGAGCAGCAGGGCCCCGGTTTGGATCCCACATTAGGGCCAGTGATGCTGCACCCTCTACAGCTAAGATGGTGATCAACAGCTCCACCTGGAGTGGGGCTGGCTGGCAGCTGGCATGAGCTGCCGAGAGCTGCTGTAAGCAGCCGTCCAGTGGCCGGTGACCCATCTGCCTCTCCCGGGGAGAGTGCAATGATAATACCAAGATGGGCCAGTGAAGCGACTTCCTCCACAACTAGACTGAAGAACAAAAGGACAGCAACTTGTCTGTTCCCCTTTCCCCAATTCCCCAATAAAATCTTTAAAAAAACAAAAAAAGAATAATAGGAGGGAGTACTTGAATCCACACTAAAAATGGCTACATACATCTACAATAATAAAAACAGTAAATCGTGTGGAATGGGAACCAGAAGAAAAAAATGAAAAGATGAGTGTCCAGAGAAGCAAATACAAGTATAAATAAGAATGGAAAATATTTATTCATTAAATATAATGGTTACTAACGAGTTACTGTATACTAAATGCTGGCAATACTGTGGTAAATAAAAATGGAGTCTATCTTTGTCTTCACGGAATTTAGTATCTATTAGTTTATTATATATGGTTATTTTAAATTAGTGGAGAAGGGGTGGATTATTCATTAAGAAAAGAATTTCTTCCTTATACTTGAAGGTTAAATACATTTTGTAGGTTAAATATAAAAAATAAAACTGTACAGTTTGCTGGAGGAAAATAAAGAATGGGTACAAAGAGGAAGACAAGCCAGAAGCAGAAATTGACTAGAGCAGCACTGCCCAGAACTGGCTGTGATGACTTATGATCAAAAGTCTATATCTGCACTGTGCATACAGTAACCACGGTTCACACATGGCTATGGAGCACCTGTATGTACTAGTGTGACTGAGGAACTGAATTTTTAATGTCAATTGATCTAAATTTAAATAGCCACATGGTCAGTAGCTAGTGTATTTAGACAACACAGATCTACGCTAATAAAATGATAAAGCCATGAAGGAAATTGTGGGTGATCTTTTTCAAATCTCTCGTTTTACAGATGAGGAAAAAGAAGCCAAGGAAGGAAAGTGACATGTCCGCATCACTAGTTAGTGTCTGTGTCAGTTGTGGAAGTTATAATATATGTTGAGGGTCTGAGGGTCTGTAACATAGATGATGGTGAGTGATGATTTGAAGATGGTGGTCGAAAATGACAAAGGGCACTGTGGAGCAGTGTGCCCACTGTGATGGAGCACATCATTTCATTCCTTTGCTAGAACCATCACTGGCTTCCCATTTTACTTGGAAGGACAGCCAGTGTCCTTATCATGGCCTATAAGGCACTTCGTGATCCAGCTCTTGGCTACCCCAGACCTCATTTTCTTCAAGTGTTTGCACCTCTCTGCTCCAGTTACACTGGTCACCTCGCTGTTCTTCCAACTTTCCTGTCTGTGAACCTTTGCATTTGCTCCTCCCTCCTCTGTGGTTCTCTGCCCTAGATGTCGGTGTGGACTAGCTCTCCTCCCACTTTGTTGAGATTGTTGTTCAAACATTTCTTCTTTATTTAGGTTTATTGTGATCATCTTATCGAAAATAAACACCACTGTAACTCTTAATCACTTTACCTTGTTTTTTGTCATAGTATTTAATACGATTTTATGACTTTATGTTTAATGCCTTTCTCCTCTGTTAAAATATTAACTCCACAAGGGGAGGGACTATATTTTGTCCACCTTTGTAGTCTCAATTCTTAGAACAGTGTATGTAGAAGGCATTCAGTATATTTGCCAAATTAATATATGAATGAACACAGGAATGAGTTCCAGGAAGGCCAGAGCCTCTCCTCTCCTCCCTTCTCCTGCCACTGAGTTGTTAATGGAAGAAGGAGAGAGCAGAGGATGTATGGTGGTGACAGAGCCCATCAGCCCAAATGCTGTTTCCGGGACCCACACCAGACCTTCTCAATCACAGTCTCTGGTGGTGGGGCCCAGAAAACACATTTTTTAGAGTCCTAGGATGACTTTAATGCACACTTTATGAGAACCTCTGCCTCTAAAGATTTTATATTTAAAGTATCCTCATGCAAACAGCATATAGCTGGTTGGTTCTTTGTGTGTTTTTTTCACCCTGTGCTCACAGCTGGGCATTCGAGTGACTCTGTGTGCCTCTCACCAATCCCAGGTCTACTCCCAAACGTTGGTTTTTGAAAATCCAGTCTGATAATCTTGGTCTTTTAATTAGTGTTTAGTACATTTTCCTTTAATGTAATTACTGGTATATTTGTGTTTAAGTCCACCATGTTGCAATTTTTTTCTACTTATCCCATCTGTTCTTCCTTTATTTCTCCTTTTTGGCCATCTTTTGGATAAATCAGGTATTTTTTTCCTATTATCTTGTTAACTATACATTATTTTTATTATTCTTTTAGTGGCCACTCTAGGCTAATATGTATCTGTTACTCATTAGGTAATAATCTTTCTTCCTTCTGTAACCTTCCTCCTATAATTAGTTCTCTTACCACTTCCTAAACAAGTTAAGACCCCTTATACTGGTTTAACTCCAAGATACTATTATTAGTTGACATTATATATACTTTATAGTTCCTGTTTTGGGGTTCTTAATTTCTTCCTGTGTTTCTATGCTTCCATTTCCTTCCATTTTTCTTCTACCTGAAGAACCCCTATTAGTATTTCTTTGTATGTAGGTCAACACTTCGCTCCCTACATGAATTATTTTTCATTAGCTCCTATTCTTGCTGGGTCAAAGTAGTGTAATTTAAATTATTTCTGAGGTTAAGTCTAGGAAATTCTAGTCTCAATGGAGAGAAAAACATCTAGAAATTTAATAATGAGAGACCTTTGCAGCATCATAGTGAAAAATGGAGATTCATATACCTGAAAATAAGCAAGGGGTTAGTAAATAAGATATGGCATATTTATACCATGTAATATTATCCATCCAACCAAAGTGATGTTATAAATAAATGAATATATATGGATAATCATAGACATGTCTGTATAAGGAAACATTTGAGCAATTATATACTAACTAAATTTTGACTGGTTCTAGGAGGTACGAAACATGGTAGGTAGGTGTGGGGGGCATGGAAAACTTCCAATTCTTTAACTTGGAAAAGAATTCACTGAGGGTAGAAATATTGAATATTGTTTTCTAAGTTTTCTTAATGACAAAATTGTATGAAATTTGCTTTATTAAATCAAAATAAATATAAAAATATTTGAAAGGTATTCAGGTCTAATTGGCTGAGAGAAAAATGTCAGACAGTTGAAACCTGGACTCCATTAGTTTGTGTATGCAGCTAAAAAATGTCTTTTAAGGACTTTATCTAACAAAATGTGCCCCACCTGTCTACAGAAGAAATGATGCCTGCGGAACACTTTTTTTTTTTGCAGTTTTAAAGCTTTTATATCGAAAGCCTGAGTCTGAATAGCCTTGATGATTTACATGCCCACCCTGTCCAGCACAACAGTCGCCTTCAGCCCCGACTCGTGTCCCTTCTTCCTGAAGCCTTTACTTATGTCCCGACTTGTCTGTATTAAGGAGTGTTTCAGAGGTGGAAGCATGTAAGATGGAAGCTGGTGCATGTTACTGGTGTTCCCTGGAGCCACACTTGTGCTTCCCTGACACCTGCTTAACATTTTGGTCCATTACTGAGGCACTAACTATTCATGTATTAACTCATTTTTTCTGTGAAAATGTTTTTGCGTAAAATCATTGACATGCTCTGTCTTCAGTAGGAACATTACTCTGCAGTCATGGTAAGACCAGGAGTGATGTTCGCATTTGACCATGAAGGCCAGGGAACACGCCAGAACGCACTGCAGCTGGAACCCTGGGGGCCGCTGCGTTGCTGGGCACCCTCTTCAGTTGCTGGACTGAGGCTTTGGAGATGTGGGAGGGTTGCTAGCCGGGCTCAGTGCAGTGGTGTTTACCAGCCTGTGTGGCGCTATTTCAACATTTGACAGGTCAGTTCAGCTGTTCAGGTGTGTACCGCTGATTGCCATCTGTGTGTCAGCCCAGCGTAAGAGTAAGCATTGCTCTGTGACATGCCAGACCGCACAGCAGCTTTGGTAAGTCTGGAGCAGATGTACCTCATTAGGAAGAATGGCCATTTTGAGTCTTCAGGGAGCAGACTAGGTCTTGTTCCATGTTATAAAGATCCTGAGTTCAACATACAGGAGAAGTATGAGAACTGTACTGTAACATTTAAAAACATTCTCGCTCATCAAACATGCACAGTTGGGTATGTTCCTCCAGTGATGAGCTGTAGGTATTTTTTTATGTACTTCATTATCACAATGGAAATGTTCACTATTTAATCAATAATGATCAATAATGCTTAAAATTACTATTTTCTTTCGTAGGTAGCATGATAGGTTACCAGCTGTCTTTGAAAATTAGTGAGGTTGTCAAGAGATGTTAGGTAATCCTTGGATGCCCCCAACTCTTCTGTTATGGCATACATTTGTTTAAGTTGTATTTTTGCAAAGTCACTATGAAATTTGTTTACTGTTTGTATTACATATACAGTACAACCTTGGATTGTGAGTAACTTGGTTTGCAAGTGTCCGCAAGACGAGCAAACATTTCTAATACATTTTAACATGGTAAAGGAGCGATGTCTTGCAATACGAGTAGTTTGTTTCCGGAATGAATTATGTGCACAAACCAAGGTATTATATATTTAATTTTAGAGAATCAGTATTATAAGCACTTATATATATATATATCTGGAAGACTTCCACTGTAGAGCTTGGAAAAATGTATCTTTTAAAGCTTAACATGTCCCTGCTCCTCCTTGAAGTCCTTCTTCACGCCCTCGTCTATCCTGGTTTTCCATATTGAGAAATGCTTTACATTTAGTATGAATTGTGTATTATTTTACATTTGATTGTGTACAGTGTTGGGATTGCCCATTTTTTTCCATCAGTAGAGAATATCTTAGAAATTGTCCACTTTCCATGGTGACATCAGAACTAAGCACAGAAGTCATCTAGCAGTTACTCGACATGTATTGCTCAGAACCTAAGATACTGCCAGAAAATTTCACTATATGAAATATTTCTCTCCAAAAGTACAGGCAATTTAACTCTTCAAACTGAGCAAGAATGTTTATGTCCTTTCAGGATTTGGTGACATTTGGGGACGTGGCCGTGGATTTCTCCCAAGAGGAGTGGGAGCGGCTGAATCCTGCCCAGAGGGGTCTGTACAGAGATGTGATGCTGGAGAACTACAGGAGCCTTATCTGGCTGGGTAAGGGGGTCTCCCGGCAGCTCCGAATCTGCAATCTGCACATAGGGCTGCTTTCCAATATAGTGTTTGGGAAGCCACTGATGTGCTTCACTAAGTTTTTCTTTCTTGTGCTCCCCCAAATAGGTTGACTTTTGTAGAATTGGCAGCTTCATCAGACTATTCCTGCAACTTCCTCTTCCTCATTCTTCCACATACTTCACATCCTTCCTCAACTGCCATCTGTCATGCCCCCACCTTCCTGATGACCAAGGAACTTGATCTGATTTATGGGCCTGGCTAATTCCCTTTTGTTTCTTGTAAGCAGGAGTTTCAGTTTCTAAGCCAGATGTCATCTCATTACTGGAACAAGGAAAAGAGCCCTGGGTGGTGAAGAAGGAGGGGACAAGAGGCACATGCTCTGGTGAGTGAGAGAGAACTAGGGAGGTGGAAGCCATTGCAAAGAAAAGCTCTGTCATCCTAAATGGTTCCATCTCATAATTGATGTTTCCTGGGTAGCTGTTCTTAAAGGCTCTAGGCCTGGGAGGAAACATTGAGGTGTCTTTAGCATGAACTCCCCAACTTCTTCTCCTTGTATATATTCTTTCACACATTACAGTCTTCTCTGAAAACCTTTTCCTATTCTCTGTGTCCAAATATCACAGTGTCTCCTTGTCTTTGATTTTTAGTTTGGCACAAGTTGCTTCATCACATTAAAAAAATATCCAGAGACAAGAATGTATATTTTTTTCTTTTTCAGTCACTTATTCCTTTTAGATTGAAGGCTTGATTTATTTATTCATTATTTTACCAAGATTCACTTTGAGAAAATCATTCTGCTAAATTCTTGGGATTATTCATAGGTTTATAAACCATCAAAAAAAAAGGCATTTTCAGTTGTATTTTCAAGTCTGGGTAATTGGAAGGTGACATTTAATAGGTCATAAGAAAGTCATAAGAAAAGGTTGGGAGGGGAAAAGTTGAATTTGGCTTGGGACATAACAGACTTATTTTTATGGGATGGGGATATTGCCAAGTGAAGAAATACAACATGCCATTGGGGGTAGACAGAGGCTCAGAAAAAAAGTCTGATTTAGAGATGTGAATATGAATGAATAAGATCACTAAGAATATGAGAGATAAAGGCTGGTACTCAGGTCTTTGTAGGGAAGTGACCTTTGACAACTTTCTCAATGTCTTTTCTGGTAAATGGTTCTATTTGGGTTAAATTTTGTAAATTTTTATTTTTCTAGATAATTATCCTTTTCATTTAGGTTATCAGATTTATTTCCATGAATCTGAGCAAAATAATCTTATAATTCTTTTTATTTCTTTTATATCTATAATCGTTTCCAATTTTAATTTCTTATTTTGTGTAGCTATTTTTTTTAAATTATTAGGTTGCTACTCTTGCATCAATTTTTTTATTTTTAAAATCCAGCTTATGGATTTATCTATTAGTGTTACCATTCTTCTCTTTTCCAATTCTCTAGTTTCTGCTTTTCTCTTTACTAATTTTTTCCTTCTAATTTTCTTAGGCTTAGCTTGTTTACCATCTTGCTGAAATGAAAGCTTCATCTATTCATCTCATTCTCATTCACTAATTATTAAGGGCTATGAATTTTCCTCTGAATATAGCTTCAGCTGTCTTCCATAGATTCTGATGTTTATTTTTTTTGTTATTGCTATTTCCTAGATAACGTACTTCTTAAAAATTTCCCTTTTACACAAGAGTTGTTTAAAAGAAAGTTTTCTGGTTTTACTGTATTTTGACCAAATTGTTTTATCATATTTGATCTGGTAGCAATTAGTACTAATTCTACTTTCTAACAGTTTGAAGATTTTGTGTCGCCTAATATATAGTTAGTTTTTGTAAATAGGCTCCAAGATGTAGTCTCTATTTTCAGGGTAAAGAGCTTTATTCTTTTATGTTATTAAAGTATGTCTTTACTTACATTTCTTATTTCCATCTATAATGTTTTTCTTAACTTTATTAAGGAATTATTTACACACAGTAAATTGCATCTATATAAATTATGCAATGTGATGAGCTCTGACAGTTGTATACACCCATGAAACCATTGCCACAATCAACACACAGCATTTCTATCACCCCAGAAGATTGTGCCTCTGCAGTCCATCCTTCTACACTCCTGTCTCCAATTCAATTTTTGTAAAGTCCAGTTTATTAATTTCTCTTGGTTGGCGATTTTCTGCAATATCTAAGAGATTCTTGCTACTGCCAGGTCACAAAGCTTTTCTTCTATGTTTTTTTCTCCCTAGGAATTTTATAGTTTTAGCTTTCGCATTTTGATATATGATCTATTGAGCTAATTTTTGTGTCTTATGTGAGGTAAAGGTTGAGTTTCTTTATTTTTTTCCCCATTTGGATATTCAGTTGCTCCAGTACTTTTTGTTGAAAAGAGTTCCTTTCCCTGTTATGTTGCCTTGTTGATAGCTTTGTTGAAAATCAGTTGACCATAAATGCATGGTTTTCGTTCTGAACTCTGTTCTGCTCCATTAATCTATATTTGTATTCTTTCACCAGTAGTACACTGTCTTGATATCTGTAGCTTTATAGTAAATTTGATGTCAAATAGTTCAATTTGTAAAACACTTTGACTATTTTAGATCATAGAATGAAGTTTAGAATTTCTACCCAAAAAGCCTGCTGGGATTTTGATTGGGATTATGATGAATCTATACATCAATTTTGGGAGAACTGACTTCCTAACATTGAGTTTTCTAGTTCATGAGTATGGTTTATTTAGAATTTATTATAGTCGTCTTTAATTTCTCTTAGCAGTATTCTGTGGTATAGTGCTCTTATATATCTAAAAAAAACTATTTTCCTGAATCTTTTATGTTTTTTTGTGTGCTATTATAAATACAATTTTGAAAAATTCCATTTTCCAATTGTTTGCTGCTAGTATGCAAAAATGTAAGGTAAGGCCTGTGGCAGGTTAATAAAATTAAGCAATTTAATACAAAATTACTTTTCTATGATGGCATCTTAGTTTTAGGGATCAACTGAAAATTTACATTTGGTTGGAATATATCTCATAGAAAATGATATCCAGGAAGACCTTTTGCAGACTGCAAAAGTTTAACCATAGAGTTTCATGTACAGCCTAAGGCAACTAATAGTACCTGGTGTGTCTTTGGGTCTGGGCATCTTATGGAGGTTTTTTAGCCACATTGATATTATATAATTGGTTTTTCTAAAGGTAATGAACTTATCCTGAATGCAGGATAACCAAAGGCATGAGAGAAAGGGTGTTTGGAAACTGTTGTATTGATATATATATATATATATATATATATATATATATATATATATATATATATATAATGATGATTGTGATTTTAGATAACCTCTTTAATTTTGAATTTTTCTGGTAGTTACCTTATTATGTATGATTAATTTATATCCCTAATCAGCTTTCTTAAGTTCTCATTCTTTATCATCTTATACTTTTTAGATAACTTTAACAGCTGTTAAATCCTCAAACTTATGTATTTTATTCACCAATACTTGTTTTAAGTTTTTCTATTCTGCATAAACACAAAAGACTTTTTTCCTTAATATCTTTTAGATTGGGAGTATGCATTTAGAAACAATGAATTTTCATCAAAGCAAGTTATTTATGAAGAATCATCCAAAGTAATGACATTGGGAAGAAGCCATCTTACTCGTAGCCTTGACTGCCTCCGTTTGAGAGAAGATTGTAAAAGTAGGGACTGGTTTAAGAACCAGTTGGGAAATCAGGAGGTACATTCTAATCAATTGATCATCACTCATAAAGAAATCCTCACTGAAGATCAAAATAACAAATATAATAAATCTTGGCAAACTTTCCATCAGGATGCAATATTTGCTATAAAACAGAGTTTTCCCACCAAAGAAAGAGCACATAAGCATGAACCACAAAAGAGAAGTTACCGAAAAAAATCTGTTGAAATGAAACATAAGAAAGTCTATGTAGAAAGGAAACTTTTGAAATGTAATGAATGTGAGAAAGTCTTCAACCAGAGTTCATCTCTTACTCTTCATCAGAGAATTCATACTGGGGAAAAACCCTATGCATGTGTTGAATGTGGGAAAACTTTCAGCCAGAGTGCGAACCTCGCTCAACATAAGAGAATACATACTGGGGAGAAACCCTACGAATGTAAGGAGTGTAGGAAAGCCTTCAGCCAGAATGCACATCTCGCTCAGCATCAGAGAGTTCACACTGGAGAGAAACCTTATCAGTGTAAAGAATGTAAAAAAGCCTTCAGCCAGATTGCACACCTGACTCAACATCAACGAGTCCATACTGGAGAGAGACCGTTTGAATGTATTGAATGTGGAAAGGCCTTTAGTAATGGTTCATTTCTTGCTCAGCATCAAAGAATTCATACAGGAGAGAAACCTTATGTATGTAACGTGTGTGGGAAAGCCTTTAGCCATCGTGGTTACCTAATTGTACATCAGAGAATTCATACAGGAGAAAGACCCTATGAATGTAAGGAGTGTAGGAAAGCCTTCAGCCAGTATGCACACCTTGCTCAACACCAGAGAGTTCATACAGGAGAGAAACCTTATGAATGTAAAGTATGTAGGAAAGCCTTCAGCCAGATTGCATACCTTGATCAACATCAGAGGGTCCATACTGGAGAGAAACCCTATGAATGTATTGAATGTGGGAAGGCCTTTAGCAATAGTTCATCACTTGCACAACATCAGCGAAGTCATACTGGAGAAAAACCTTATATGTGTAAGGAATGTAGGAAAACATTCAGCCAGAATGCAGGCCTTGCTCAGCATCAGCGAATCCATACTGGAGAGAAACCTTATGAATGTAACATCTGTGGGAAAGCCTTTAGCTATAGCGGATCTCTTACTCTACATCAAAGAATTCATACTGGAGAGAGACCCTATGAATGTAAAGATTGCAGGAAATCTTTCAGGCAGCGTGCACACCTGGCTCATCATGAGAGGATTCATACTATGGAGTCATTCTTGAGTCTTTCCTCTCCCTCATCCACCATGTCCAGTCAATTGCCAAGACCTGTAGGTTTTATCTCTTAAATATGCCTTGAATTTCACTCCTTTAATCATTTCCATCCCATCATCTGTGTCCAATACACAATAATCTACTTGGCGTGGACTATGGAAATAGCTTTCTAACTGGTTTCCCTATATTTACTGCTTCCTTTGTCAGTTGTCCATGTTGCAGACACACTTGTATTTAAAAAGTTTGATCATATCCTCACTCATTAAAACCCCTCAGTGGCACTCCATAGTTCTTAGGTTGAAGCACACATTCCTCAAAATAGTCTAAAAGACCTTCCTCCCAATACTTGTTCCAGTCTACCTATCCCCTGTCAATATCCAGCTCAGTCTTTGGTTATTTACCCAGAATTAAGAACTCATATTCCAGCATCAAATAGATCTGGGTTCCAATCCTTGCTCTTCCATTTTTAGCCCTCTAATTTTGGGGAAACATTTTGTCTTTTGTAAGCTTCGGTTTTATTTATATTATGAGAATAATAATGGTACTACCTCGAAAGTTAATGGAGCATTAAATGAGCTAATGCATGTAAATTGCTCAGTAGAGTGCCTCACATAAAGTAATCACTCAATAAACATTAATGTAAAATAAAAAGGTACCATGGTATACAAAGAAGACCTGATCATCTCAACAGTGATCAGCTGGGACAACAAAAGCAGCAGCTCCAGACTGAAGGTCTGGTTTGTCAAGGTTTCTCATTAGGAACAGTAGTCACTGAGCTAAAGGTGGGTGGCAATGGTACCAGATACAGTAAGCCTGATCTTAGAGTCCATGATAATACAGAGTAAGATGCTGGCTTCTGTTTCAGCATGAACATATAGAGACATGACTTTGTTGGTAAGAAAAAGTAGCTTTATTAGATATTCAGCAGTTCTAAGAAGCTAGATTTTAAAAATTGCTATAATGAGTAGAATTTGCTGAGATGTATTCCTCATTTACATTTAAACAAAGGCAAAATAGATTTTTAAAAACATTTGAAAAGATCAGTAGCCAAAGAAGACTAGAAAATAAAGTGTAAGTTTAATCCCTGCTCCTAATTCCAGGTGGGTAAATTGTATTAAACCTGTGTCATTTAAAGTAGAAAAAGCTGTTGAACTTCTAAGTGGTAGTTCCAAAACTACAGGGGAAAAGAAACCAAAGCTGTAAGTATTCAAAACTGGCTGCCCACAAACAGGTTTGGCTTGGTATGCATCAAGTTTAAAATGAATATGCATACCTTTAGGTGGGCCTATGTTTTCCAGTTCTCCACAGTTCAAACCACTCCGTTCCCACACATCTGACTTCTTTTACAGTTTATATTATTTCCTGACTCCCGAAGTCTTTTAGTATGCAATCAGTGCAGTAACGAATTCACATATGAATACAAATACAAAGAAAATGATGAAAGTTTAATGGAAAATGAAAGGAAGATTTGAAATATCTATCTCTCTGTAGGGGAAGACTCAGTATTATACAGATGTTAGGAGGCCCCAAATTAATCTACAGATTCCTTGGACATAACAAAATCCTAACAATTTAGAGCTCAAAAGATTGAGAACAGTTCCTAAACATGAACTCCAGAAGCCACACCACAAAGATTCAGGTTTGATTGCTTAAGAACTTTATTAAGCTTTTATGTAGTCAAAGAAAGTATAAACAAGCTTTTTAAACATCAGAATTGGAAGAAATCATTACAACATATATAACCCGTGAAATTTATATCCTTAACATAGAAGTACTCCTACAAATCACTTAGAAAATGACACTTCTCCCCCCACCATGGGCAAAGGTATTAGGCAACAGGTGACTGACAGATGTTTATAAGTACTGAATTCACTAGAATCAGAATAAATACAAGTTAAACCAATGAACTATCCAGTTTTCCTTACCAGACTGATAAAAAAATTTACATTGCAAAAGCATAGGAAAGAAGATACTTCTAAGCACTGATGTGAGGGAGTATAGATTTGTACACTGTTTCTCAAAGGCAACGTGTCAATATCAGAATTTTCATTGGGAAAACCAAGATGTTCTTTTGCAGTTAACAAACAGCACACAAGTGTATCTTCCCCTTCATAGCCCAGTAAACATAAGTAAAAGGTAACAAACAAAAAGAGCTGCAGAGAGAGGGTCATCAGGGAATGAGAGAAATTTTGTGAAAAGACAAAAGGGGGAAGAATGTTCATTCATGAAATGTAGCACAAGAAGCTGCTACCTGAAATGTTTGCATGATAGAGAATTCAGCCATGGGAGCCCATTTGTCCAAAGGATCCCTAGAGAGGCTCAACCTTCGAGTTGGCTTGTGTAGACGCTGGATGTACTAAGGAGACACAAAGACAGGACTGTTAAATGCGTTTCTACGTGAAATGTTAGCATCCCCTGCCCACAGCTTCCCCACTCCACCCTCTTCTGTAAGTAAACTGAGATCCTTCACACCATTCACAAAAATGACTTACAGTAGAATAAAATCCTAAATGTAAATGCAAATTAATAAAGATAACAGTAGGATATGTTTATGACTTTGGTGTTGGACTATCTTCTAAAATAGACAAAAATGAAAGCCATAAAGGAGAAGATTAATGAAGCTATCAAAAGTTAGCATGCTTTTAAAACAAAGTTAAAAGATAAGCAACAGAAAAGAAGACAATATTTGTAATATGATAACAAAAGGAGAGATGTAAGTATATCTTTAAATCAGTAAGTGAAGGACAATTAAGCAAGTATAAAAATAGACAAAGGATAAGGATGGGGAAATCAGAGAAGAAATATGGCCAGTAAACAGAGTCCCTGCTTAACCTTGTTCATATTAAGAGATGCAAATTTAAATAATATATCAAAAATTGGCAGTGGTGTGGAGGAAGAGGTAGTCCTCATTGCCACTTTGGAGACAATGAAGTTTTAAAAATATTCACGATAGCACCTCTGAATGGGCAGAATGGTTAGGACATGAAACACTGGAAAAAAGTCAACTTCCAGCAATAAAAGCATGACTAGAAATACTAGCAGCAGTTTAAAAGAATGGACTGAATATTGATACAGATTTGACAAAAAGATGATTGAAAAAGCAAATTTCACAGCATACAGTGTTACATATTTAAATTATATTTCTGATACATTTACATAATGCTTAGAAATGCAAATGTTTAGAAAAAGTTCTGAACAGACACATCAAAGGACAGAAGTGTTTCTTCTGGGACCAGGATTGTGATTGGCTATTCTGGTCAAGAGGAGATTGGTTATCAGTAATATTTGAAGATTTAAATAAGAATGTAATAACATAATTCAAAAAATTTAAACTATGAAAACAATGGAAGGAACTTATGGAGAACTGGGGCAGCTAGAGTGAGGGCTGGCAGCCTCAGGTGAAACCTTTTTGGAATTTGGAGACTCTCACTGACTCATCAGTCCTTCCCATGCATACAGAGATCCTAGTAAGTCTTGCCCTTTGGGGAAATAGATCTACAGTGAGAATACCCAAAGAACCCCTGCCATCTACCTAGGATAATGAAGCCATATCATTCTTAAATGTGAAAAGACAGCTAAGGATCATTGCAAGTGAAGAAAACTATCAGCATAATAAGGACCAAGAGACAGAACTAACCCCAGAGTGAAAACTAAAATTTTATGTTAGTCTGAGATTTGAAGAAATGTCGCATTTTTAAAACAAATACAGGAAGCTACCAACGTTCATATAAATAAGAACTCAGAATGAAAAAAAATATTGCTGTAATAAATTTAATATAAATTTTGAAAAAAAATGAAGGGAACTCATCAAGTACATAAAGACAGAAAAAGGGACATGGAAATTTAGAAGGTCCAACATCTAATAAATGTTCCAGAAAATTTATTAGGGAAATTATGAGGGATGTAGCAAAGAAATGATTAAGAATCTTTCTAAACTAAGGAAAGGTATGAATGTTCAATTTGGAATAGCTTACTGAATATTGGACAGGCTGAGTTGGCAAAAACTACAACAAGAGAAAAAGTGAAGAGATCCAGAAATATGCTTGTGAAATTTGAAAATACTAATGATGACATCATTCTAAGAGCTTCCAAAAAATGTAAATGTCTCCTAAAAAATAAGCAAACTAGCATTAGGATGACAGAATACCAAAACAGTCTCGTCCAAGTTATGAGGTTAAAATTACTTTGAATCCAGGCATCTATACTAAAAGAGTAATGAAAGCATCAGGCCAAATGTTGATGTTTTGTATATGCAGTTAACTTCTGTTTACTCCCACTTGTCCTTTATTACAGTCCTGAAGGAGTAGAGCCAGCAAAATCTGGAAGGAAAAGGAAGAAGGCAGCAGGAAAGGCTTCAACAAACAGTGGCTATAACCCAGGAAAGTGATGTTTAGGATGGCACTCGGCAACAACCAGACCAAATTACGGTAGGCTAGGAATCCAGGAGTCAGCCGAGAAAATCTTCAGGAAGAATGGAATAGGTTACATTAAATGAGTTAGTTTGAAGTTGGAGGATTTTACCCACATGGTAAAGACAAAAGTTTGCTCTTAGGAGAAGGAAAGAAAGGCAATCATTGGGAAAAAACAAAAGAGGCCACACCAGCTATCACGGTCCTAATGTCAAGCAAGACCCCATAAAATGTTGCATGATTCTGAAAAATAGACTGAAAAAAGAAAATCCATTTGACTGATATTAGGAATAGTCTCATTTAAGTGGTTACTGAGATCATAACAGACCTGTTGGGGAGGAAATGTAACCTCCACACATTGCTTGGCTGTGACTTTTCAGAGAGTAATATTACATAGTGATAATAACCTAATGCTATTTCATTTGCAATGTTAAAATACTTAGGCAAAGCACTGAAGTCTCTGTGTATAATCTATCCAGTACTTCATAATGTAAAAGGCAAGATACAGCTGCTAGATTGGATGGTGGAGGTTTCAGGGAAATGAGATTGAAGTAAGGATAAGGGGCAATAATGTTCACATGGTACACAGAGAGGATTCATGATCTGTTTAAAGTCAATAGAACAAGAAATATAGCTTGACTATATTGTAAGTTAAAATACAGCAGAGGAACTTATACGTATCTTGCTTGGTGGGATGAGTTAAACACTTGTCTTTCATATGGAAGACCCACAAAGAATGCAGAAAGTGGGTAAATGGAGAAACAGCAACTGTATTCAGGATTCTTACAACAACCCAATTCAAATGAGCTTAGGAAAAAGGTATTTATTAGATACTGTAACTGAAGGGTGCGGACGTGTGTGGTTCAGCCTCGGACAGGCTGGCTCGAAACCCGCAGCTCTGCTGCCACTTGTTTCAGTCTCTGGCAGGCTCTGTCTCATGGGAAAAAATGGAATCTGACATATTGGACTTCAAAGGTCCTTAGAGCTTTTAATCTCAAAAGCAAGGTGCGCTCTCGCAACCTCCATGTCAATCCCTAGGGGGAATATGCCAAGTGTGGACCAATGCATGATGGCCAGCCTTTGTCACATGCACATGCCTCCACTGGGGGATCAGATCCCAGGACTGACCAATTCACAAAAATCCCAGGGAATAGAGGCAGGCTAGGGGGAAGTTGAGAGTCAGTTCCCATAAAGAAAAAAACAGAACCTGAACTGATGTGAGGGCATTTACTGATTCATTAAGTGTGCGAACATTCCTATCTTTTGCTGCAGAAATACTGTGTTTGATGAAAGGTGCTACTTCAGACCCTGTGGCAAGGTAGACTCAGTACCCAGTAACTGATAATTAAACTGTCTTACCCGTACCCCTGAGATGGCTGTATGATGGACAAGGGAACGCCAAAAGCAACAGGCTGGGGCTTGTTTGACAAGACATGGTGGAGCCTCACCTGGAACACTCATGCCAGCAGACTTCAGGGGAATTCTTTTTAAAGCCCTCCAAAGGCTTCCCTAACAGAAGGTGTCAGGTAGAGACACAGCCAACAGAAAGTGAGCTTGTTTCACATTGGACAGCAGATCTGAGCTACAAGGAGACTTTCCTTCAAGTAAGAAAACTTCATTTCCTCTCCCTTCTATAGAAGAGTGGCAGACCCATAATGAGGCAAATTCGAATGTATGTAAGAGGAGCCTTTGAAAACATTCACTAACTTCTGAATTTAAAGTAGTGGAAACAAGATGTGTCTGTCTCTCTGAAACCAAGGGAAAGCATCAAGAACAAGAAACAGATGTAAGATTACATCATAGAAATGGCATTGTGAGGTGAGCCTCTTGAAACCTCCCCTGGAATTTACAACAAATTGAACAGCTATACTTCTACAAGAAACTCCCTGCGCAGCAGACAGGCAAGACTAAAAGATGTGCAATTGAAATCTTCTAAAGGTGGGAAAATTGGGCGAGCAGGAGAGGAGGGATGGGGGAAGAGAGGAGATGTGGGAAGTGCGAGCTCCGAGCTCCCTGCATTCTGGAGCTACCGCAGTTGCAGGAGACGGAAGAATTCGGACTGCTAGCACTCCCCTTAGGACCCACAGTCCCACCTGAGAGATGAGCATATAACTCTGCTGAACCCAACACTCATGGCAGAGACCTCAGAGCAAAGACTAAGGGAAGAAGGGTGAGAATAGTGGTTTAAGCCCTCACTGCCAAGCAGAGGACAGAAGGGATAGGAACAGAGCCTAGCTGACCCCTTCCTACCCTCCCAGAGCTCACCCTACCCCCACCTTTCCAGTGCTGGAAGCAAAACGGTAGCAGTGTCAGATCAAAAGATCAGAATATTTGCAGTTCTGAGACCTGCGGCCTGTAGCCACAGACTTGCTGCCCAACTAGTTCCAGTGAAGGGGAGGGAGTGTTGGGTGCAGGTTTGGCTGTGCTGGTGGTAGCCACCATTGGTCAGAGCCACCTCTCACAATGCACCCTGCCCCTGTCCTAACCTATCTGGGCGGATCCCTGCAGGGGTAAATGGAGCCACTGAAACACAAAGTCTCTGAATCCCATGCAGGAAGAGCTTTGGAACTTAAGAAGCTCTCCACATCGCCCCACAGAGGCGGTGCCCTGTGAACCAGGCAACCTGTTCACAGAGCAGAAGCCCACCTTCCAAGGACTTTCCAGCCCCACTCCCCACATTGTGTGAGAAGCCAGAACAGTGAAGAGAAAATATAACACTACAGCGAGAGAGGGAGAGAATATAAGGTTGCAGTGGGAGAGAAAATAAAACATTCCACTAACACCTACTGAAAAGCAAAAGAAAGACGTCTTGCTATCAACCTATTGCAGAACCCACTCCTGTAGATGCCCAGGAAGAGAAATAATACATTATACCATGAATAATCAAGGTAATAAGGCAGCTCAGAAAGAAAATGAAAAGTCTCCAGAAAATGAACTTAAAGACAAGGAAATATGTTACTTAAATGACAGGGAATTCAAGATTGCAGTTCTTAAAAAACGAGATGCAAGAAAACACAGGCAGTTTAACGAACTCAGATACACAAAGAACAAAATGAACATTTTACCAAAGAGATTGAAATTTTAAAAAGAACCGAATAGAATTTCTGGAGATTAAGAACACAATAAAAGAAATGAAGAATGAAATAGCCAGCTTAGGTAATAGAACTTACCACATGGAGGAAAAAAATCAGTGACATCGAAGATAGAAATCTGGAAATAATACAGATGGAAAAAGAGAAAGACTTCAGAGTTAAAAAAAAATGAAAGAACGCTATAAGAACTTTCTGATTCCATCAGAAAGAGCAATATAAGAATAATGGGCATACTAGAAGGAGACGAAAGGGAGAAGGGAACAGAGAGTATATTCAAACAAAGAGTCGAAGAGAACTTCCCAAACTTGTGGAAAGAACTACATCCTCGAATCTAAGAAGCAAATAGAACACCTAATTACCTCAATCCCAACAGGCCTTCGCCACAGCACATTGCACTGAAGCTGTCAAAAATTAATGACAAAGAAAGAATCCTCATGGGAGCCAGGGAAAAGAAGACAGTAACCTATAAAGGAAAGCCCACTAGATTATCATCAGATTTTTCAGCAGAAACTCTACAAGCCAGGAGGGAGTAGAATCAAATATTCAAACTATTGAAAGAGAGAAATTATGAGCCACAAATAATGTATTCAGCAAAGATATCCTTTAGATATGAAGGAGGAATAAAGACCTTTCCAGACATACAGAAGCTGATGGAATTTTCTAACACATGACCTGCATTACAAGAAATACTGAAGGAGGCTATTGGACCTGAAACAAAAAAGCAAAAGAATACAAAACCATGAGTAGTATTATAAACAGACAGGAAATGGTAACCCCTTACACCAAATAGGACATTTATACACTTAAGCATAACATACAGGGTAAAGAAGAAAAAAACACTTAAAAAAAGAAAAAGACAACTGGCTACTGCAGCACAGAAATTAACTCACAGCATAAATAAGGATAATTTGTGACAACTAAAACATAAAAGGGTAGAGAGTAAAGGTCTGAACCGGCACAAGGGACTGGAGAAAGGAAGCATGCTGAAGAAAATGGAATACTCTAAATATGAAACTTTCTTTTACATAAACCTAATGTTAACCACTCAAAAAAATCCAGAACTGAAATATGTAACATAAAAAAAGAAGAAACAGGAGAAAATCACAGAATACCACCACACTAAAAGACAGCAACAAAAAGGCAAAGAAACAATGGAGACACCGTCCTACCAGAAAACAAAATATAGAATGATAGGAAATCCTCATATATCAATGATCGCCCTAAATGTAAATGGACTGAACTCACCAATAAAAA